GAATTTTCCATACCAAAAAATGTCTGTAATCTTGCATGCCCCTTCATAACATTTTGTTAGAACATGTTCTCAATTCACAGTAGGATATGTGAGGGATGGAGGCACGTTATGGCTCCTAGGAGCAGCTATAACTAAACCTTGACTGTAAGTGACAATAGCAGCACAGAGCACAGAGTACTTGCAGAAGCTTATATCAGTACTGTCACTGAGCTATGCAAATAGAAAAAGCTCATAAATAAATGGAAATCGTAGGAAAAGTGAAAAAAGAAGACAATACAACAGTTAAGAATTTATACAATTTTGTAATTATATTAGTAAGTATTGACTGCTACATCTAGTCACCATTCTGGCTTAAACATTGTTTGGTTTCTTCTACTCTTGTAGAAGGCACCTAGTAGCTTCCATTTAGGAGAGAATGATATTGTCACAGTTATTCACCCAAGTATGCCTGTCTTTTTTTTTTTTTTTTCTTGGTGGATAGGCATCTTACCGAGTGCAGTTTTCAGCCCATGTGCCTTTACCCATCCTGGGGTACAACTGCACAGCTCTCCCTGTATCCTCGGCTACGGTTCCAGCATACCTACTACTGTGATTGCTGGCAGGTTTTGCTGTATCTCTTCCATTCAAGCTAAGATGAGCAACATTAATAGTGATCAAAGAGCTGTCTTAAAAGCTAATATATATAATTAAACTGGGTGTACATCCCCCCATCAGATACAAGAAACATTCTACATATTTATGTTAGATTTGCCATATTCCAAAGCCAGCTCAAGGTACAGGCAAAGTAGGCAGTATTTTCATGAGAAAGTAATTCAGCACATTAGGAGTGGATCAGTAGAATGAAACAGTTGATACTGAGGCACCTCATTTTTCCATGTATGTGTCTTGGGGGTTTATTCTGGATTATATTTAGCCTGGTCCCCAGAGCCAAACACCTCCACTACACATGCGTTTCAAAGCTTTCTGAGGAGAAGTGTTAGGTATGTGCTAGAGGACCTTGTGGCAATGCAGCTCACACGCTATTTTGGAACTCGCTGTCCCCATTAGCACTAAGGTGCATGCGGAGCAGATTTGAAGCAGAGCTTCTGTTTTCATTTCCTCCTTAAGGAGTGTAGTTTGTATGCACCAAAACCACTCTGGGAACTGAAACACCACATGGTAAATGGAGACAATGACAGGATTTTCCTCCAAACTGCACTATTGCTTTGAAACAAATTGCTAATGTAGACCCAGCCTTTGACAGCTGCTGAGGGCAGCAATCTGCCAGTTCCACTAGGGCCTAGGAGAGGAGATCAGCTGCTTTAGACTGAATCTCTTCCCTCCATATAGACCACCTTTCAATATCACTGCAGGCCTTCCTGCTGTCCTATCAGTGCTCTGTCTTCTCCCTTTTTCCACATCCATTCTCACTACCAGGAAAAGGTCCCCGATCTACCCCGTTACCATCCGCGTGGAAGGTAAAGGAAGCAAACTGTGGCTGCTGAAAGATGATGCAGGCTGTAGAGTGAGGACTGACAACTGCATGAGACCTGAGCGTGGAGAGGCCATAGCCACAGAGAACTGAGGTGGGTGGGGTGGGTATACATAGGTCATGAGAGAGGGGTGTAGAAGCCCCCATGGCTTCTAAAACTCTGCTGCTTTTTTTCACACCGCAGCTTTCTCTTCTTTCATCCTCACTCAGTCTCCTAAAACAACACGGGTAGATCATAGTACCCTAACATTCCCCTGAACAAAAAAACCACCCCTCCCAGTGTCCCCATTTCTCATTCTGAAATAGCTCGCCTGCTAGTGCTGCAAATTTTGATTAACTACACAAATACAGAATTTTTAAAACCATGTTTCAGCAGATGCTTTCTCTCTGCCTCATTCTCCCCACACAGAGGGAGAGTTTCTTTTTAAAGCTGCCTGGTTTCTCCTGGTTCCTAGGCCTCTTCTTTGCCTCCAGACATGTTCTTTTAATAACTGCATGCTGAGACAAGAGAGATCTTGACTCTGTCTTCATTCCCTCAGTCTGGGCCTGAAACCAAAGCTGATAACCA